ACTCCACAGAGATACGCAAGTGGAGGATAGTCATTTGATCTTTCAGTATTATTACTAGTAAATTTGTTAATCCTATAAATTAGAGACACGTCCTCGGAGAACACCCCACAGAGATACGTGAGTGGAGGACCGCCCCCGTAACCAGAATCTCTTAGATAGGGAACATGACTTGAGTGTATAGATCTATACGAGGCTGGCTACCCCACACCTGGCGGCTAGCTACAGCCGAACCGAAAGGTTCAAGGGTGACGAAAGTCTTAAGGTGATGTGGACTACATATTGCCATATCTAGTCTATTGTATGGTTATGGAACTCGCAATTTGGATAACAGAGATTTACTTTTGAGTAATAATGGGTTTACTAACTAGTTTACTTTGTATTTATTAGTTTTATATACGTGTTAAAACTAATACATTTCAGTGTACATCTTTTACATTACATATTGAGTTGGTAAACTAACATACATTTCACAAGGATAACCAGGTTTTCAGTATACATCTTTCACCTTAGGAAAATATGGGATTTTCCTGGGATAACAATTGAACATAACCAGACCCGTGTAACATAACAGATAACTAAACTTTACATATACAAAAATATGGGATTTTCTTGGGTCGTAACATTTTCAGAAACCAAAAGGAAACTCGTACATTTTCACAAAACAAAAACTGCTTATGAGCTCACCAGCTTTATGTTGATTTTTAAAATGCTTGTATTCTCAGGTCCGCATTAGACAGGTACCCGATGATCCTTTTGTCGAAGACGGAGTACATCAAAGACACATCTTGCTTTTGTTCACATATATATATATATATATATATATATATATATATATATATATATATATACATATGTATCACACTTGTACAACTAAACTTTTGAACAAATGTAAATTTTTATATGTAATGTAATGGGTGTTTACTTTTCTTACTATGTGCATTGGCTTTGATACTCAACGTGGAGTCCGCCTCGAGAATGTTTCCGCCTTGGTTTTCGGGGTGTGACACACACTCTCTTGAGTTGCCATTGCAGTAGCACGGTCCTCGGCTTTGGTAATAGAAAGGGACACGGTTGGTTGACGGTTGTTGCACCATGACACAACACTTGATCCAGTCATGAAAACATAACCAGTAGTGGATCCTCGAGTGTTTAGGTCACCAGCATAATCAGCATCACAGTAACCTGACAACATACTTCCTTATTCCCTATTAAACACAATTTCGTGGTCGAAAGTTGTCTTGATGAATCCCAAAACTCTCCGAATAGCATCAAGATGAGGTTTTCTAGGATTATGCATGTACCTGCTTAGGACTCCAACCACGAAAGCAATATCTTGTCTTGTCATGGTGAAATAGATAAGGCTTCCTACTATCTTTCTGTACATTGTGGCATCTTCAAGTTTTCTACCCACATGTTCATATAGCTTTGCATTAGTATCCATGGGAGTCACCGCTAGTTTACACTTGACCATTCCAAATCGCTTCAACAAATCAGTCATGTATTTCCTTTGATTAAGAATTATGTTACCATCTTCATATTTTACTTCTAATCCAAGAAAGTGATTCAGCTTTCCAAGGTCTTTCATGTGAAACCTTGTACATAAGTTTTCTTTTAACAGTGCAATTTCATCATCAAGGTCTTTTGTCATTATTAAGTCATCGACATACACAAGAGCAATCACCACCTTGTTACCAATTGTCTTCACAAATAGAATTGCATCCGCCATTGTTAGAGAAAAAGCATTATGCTCAAGAAATTCAACAATCTTCCCAAACCATGCTCGTAGGGATTGCTTGAGTCCATACAGTGCTTTCTTTAGTTTACACACGTATTTTGGATGGGTCTTGCTGTCAAATCCCTTCAGTAGTTCCATGTGAATAACATGATCTAGATCTCCATACAGAAACACATTGCTCACGTCCATTAGCCATAAGTTCCACTGTTTAGTAGCTGCTAAGGCAAGAAGAACACATATGGTGGTTAGCTTTGCTACAGGGCTGAACGTTTCATCATAGTCCAACCCAAATTGCTGTGAAAATCCACAGGCAACAAGCCTGGCTTTAAACCTCTCCAATGATCCATCTACATGTCGTTTAACCTTGTAAACCCATTTACACGAGATGGGTTTAACATCTTTGGGCGTGGGAACCAATTCCCATGTTTGATTACTTATTAGGGCAGATACCTCCTCTTTCATGGCTGCAATCCATTCTGGGACTCCACACGCCTTATCATAATTATCTGGTTCCTGAATTTCATCTTCTATTATGGCAACATTAGCATAACGTGGATTTGGTTTTCTCACTCTAGATGATCGTCTTATAGGGATCTCGTCATTTGCCTCCACACGATGGAATACGCCTAACTACCAAGATTGTTGTGCATAGACTTCAATATTGTCTTCTTCAACCACTGTTTCACTTTTGTACAGGTTAAGATTAACTTTAGATGACTCTAGATTCTCTTTCAATGTTTCTGAGTTTGGAAAAGTTTCACGGTTCGTTGACCACCGGGAGGATGTTTCATAAAAAACGACATTCCTTGAAACATGACATTTACCGCTGATTAGATCACAACATCTCCAACCTTTTCTCTCTTGGTCATATCCCACGAAGATGCAATGAACAACTATCTTTTATAGCTTGTGTCGGAGATGACATGGGACGAAAACATAGCAAACACATCCAATAACTCGTAGATGACTCACATTTGGCTTCATGTTGAAGAGCTTTTCAACCGGTGACACATACTTTAAAACTTGTTGAGGAATTCGATTAATGACATATGCAACTGTCTTCATAGCCTCTACCCAGAACCTTCCAGGGACATTTTTTGTCATGTATCATGCTCCCTGAGATCTCAGTTAGATGCCTCTTTTTTCTTTCTAAGACCACATTCTATTGTGGGCTATTAGGACATGTTAGTTGTCTTCTAATGTTGTGTTACTTCAAATACTCAGCAAAATCGGTAGCAAGATATTCCCCTCTGTTATCAAACCTTAAACAACAAATGGTCTTCCTGGTTATTCTCTCAGCTTCACTCTTGAATTCTTTGAATTTACTAAAGGCTTCAGACTTCTCCATCATAAAATATACCCGAACATGTCTTGAAAAATCATCAATAAAGGTGACCATATACTTCATACCTTGAAGAGATGGTTGTTTTACAGGATCAAACACATCTGAATGCACCAACTCTAATGAAACCTTAGATTGAAAGCTTGATTTTTCATAGGGCAACGGATGGGCTTTACCGTATTGACAACCAGCACAAAAACGAGACCTTTATTCACCTCAAGCTATGGTAATCCATTGACCAACTTCTTTTCATCATTAGCTCCATCTTGGCATAGCTTACATGACTTAAACGCATATGCCAGAGATCCACATTCTGGTTCTTTTTCATCTTATCAACATATGTCGTTTCAGCAGACATCACATAAATGGACTCTGAACGATGTTCGCATGCTATTGGTTGTGATAAAGTTTTGAAATGTGTGTATACCTTCATATCACAAAGGCCAAATAACACATAGTGACCTGCTCCAGTTAGTTGTGAGACCGAGAGTAAGTTTTTCTTCATCCCTGGTACATGGTACACACCTTGTAACAACAATTCTTTCCTGTTATCTCCTGGACAGAACTTAACATCACCAACATGAGCAATTGGAAGTTTAGAATCATCTGCAATTACAACTACTTTGCTGCCTCCATACTTAACTTGACTTTGGATGATCACTTTCTCCCCTGTTATATGGTTAGAACAACCTGAGTCAACAATCCACTCATCTAGTTTACTCTTTCATTTTTCAGTTGTAGCTGTTAGAGCTAAAACAGTTTCTTCTTTAGCAAACAATGCCTCTGCATCCCATTCTTCCTCATTTTGAGTAGTCGCCGCATTACCTTCTTCTTGTGCACTTTTGGGACAGTTTTGAGCCATGTGACCTCAAGTACGACAATTGTAACATTTAAATAGAAACCGCTTATTTGAATGGTGGATTTTCTTTTCTCCTAATGATTCCCCTTTTTCTCCCTCGCGTTGCTTCTTATCACCTTCACGATTTCTATTTTTGTCCCCATATCGTTTTCTACCATGGTTGGATTTGGACTTTCCTTTTCTTTTATCCACATACAAAGCTTCCTCTTCTGTCTTGATAGACATACCACCCATTTGATTTGCCAAAGCTTCTTGACCAGCAAGTAAGTTTTCGAACTCCACAAGGGATGGCTGTGTAGGCCATCCTTGTATAGCTGCTACAAAACTTTGAAATTCTGGTTTTAAACCATGAAAAATAATTCTTTTCATTCTAGATTATCCAATCTATGCTTGAGGATCAAGCTCCAAGATTTCCCGACATACGGTTTTAATCTTGTGAAAATATTGAGGAATTGGCATTTCTCATTAAGACACCAACATCAGTTCGTTCTCAAGGAGTTTCAGCGTTGTATCATTTTTCTTGGAAAACAGAGCAAGCCGCGTATCCCATGCTTCATTTGGCGTTACTACATCTTGAATGTGTTGTAATATATCCTCATCCATTGTAGTTTTCATAATAAACATAGCTTTCCCTACCTTGATCTTCCATTTCCTTAACACCCCATTGGTGTCTTCAACTTCTAGCTGACTTGTCTCAGTTCAATCTACAACTTCCTAGAGATCTTGGCCCTGCATGTATGACTTGATAAAGGTTGACCAGGTGTTGTAGTTACCATTACTGAGTTTCTTAATGCCACCAACCACTTGAAGATCGCCCATAAGTTAGGCTTTGATACTAGTTTGTTAACTGGAAATGGGTTCCTGTACTTGTACACAATAAGAAACACACAAGGATAAAACTTTAAGGAGAGAACACACACAATCTAAGCTTCATGTGTTTGCTTGATTTCTGAAAATAATAAAAACTAGATACCAAAAAGGCTTACATCAAAAAAGAAACTGCTGAAGAGAAAAGAAAACTACCCATTAACTTCTCTACCAGTAACTAAGATAAAGGTCATTAGCTAAACTGCAAAGCTCAATTGTAAAGCAAAATACAGCATGAAGATAAAAAGACAAATTGGACCTAACAAAAGCGTGCATAACACATGTATATATCCGTTAGATAATAAACTAGGTGTTGCTGTTTCAATAGTCTCCATATGAATATTAGAAAGAGCCAAGGCTAGTGGTGTCCGACCTTCATTGTCTTTGGCCAACAACTCTGGGTCTATTGCCACCAAGATGTCAGCAACTTCAGTGTTGCCAATAATGGTTGCGACATGAAGCAACATGCTTCCATTTGAATTTTTCACATCCAATAGTTGTGTGTTCTCCGGTATCCTTTCCAACAATTTCTCTAAGAATTCTTGCTTCTTGGAAGTACCGACTGGTACACGGAGTGTCGTGTTTCCATTATTTTTGATTTTATCTATCACTGTAACCCTTTCATAACTCAATCTTCTTTGGACAAGATACCAAGATCCTGCTTAAGTATAGTTGTACAATATCTCCAGATGCCTTCCTCTATCTTGATCTTGTAGTGTCCCTATATTTGTATAATTTTGTTACGAAGGCAAAAAAACTACATGGTAGCATAAATCTCTGCCTTTTATATTTCCGACTAGTTGTGAAACCCATGTATTACATGGGTTAATTTTTATAAAAAAAGTTAAATACGAAGGTCTAAATAATTGAAAACTTTAATTTATTAGAAAATAAGAAAAATAATGAATTATTAAAATTGAAATGTTTTTTTTATCTTTTAAATTTAAACAAATAATTTAAATAAATAAACAAAAAAGCTAACAAACTTTAATTTAAAATTTTTTAAATTACAAGGTAAACTCATTAATGAAATTGATATCTTTTTATTACTATATTTATTGCAAATTATTACATTAAAATATTATATGAAATTTAATAAAATAGGAAAATCCATAAAATAATACGTGGAAAAAAAAATTAATTCAAAATTACCACAAATTGAGATTTGTCAAATTGAAAGAGAGCATGTCATGTAACAAAAAGTTTTTTATTTATTAAGGAGGAGTCTCAGTTATATATTGAATGTATTTATTGTTATTATATGTTCCATATTTAGTTTAGGGTTTCCTTCTTTTGGGGATATATCTTCTCTATGTATACCGATTTTGATCAATGAGAGAGGCCAATTGATTCTGAAAGAATTACGGCAACAAAATATGTGCTCTGATGTAATCATTCTGTAACGGAGATGATTTGTACATAACAATTTTTCTACATACACAATAATTAGTGCTTTAAAATGTTGTACCATACAACTCTATATTGCATAAATTGTTGTGTTTCACAAAAAATTGTTATGTTCAAATCACTTCCCATTTTCTAATCTAATCATTAGAGATTTTAAAGGAGGATCTGAAAATAAAAAATGTGTTGTGTATGTACAAGTTTATCAGTTTTGTAAACTTTGTATCTATTTTACCTTGTTTGTGTAATCAAGTGCTTGGTCGACTCCACTTTTTAATTACTACAGTAATATATATATATATATATATATATATATATATATATATATATATATATATATATATATATATATATATATATATATATATTACTGTATAAGTAGTGGTATAGTAAAGTTTGTCTAAATCACCAACCCAAATAAAGGGTAGATTAACAAACAAGAGATAGACCATCCCTTCAACAACAGGCAGTTGTGGAGAAGGATGAGGAGCATATAGTATCTGCAGTTCATTCCAAACATCTTTTGCACTGAAATCATGATCTGCATTTGTCTCTTGATGAAGTTTTCCTGTGAGACGATCCAGAACATACACAAGTGTTTCTTTAGAGAGGGAACCAAGAACCCAACCATTCACTAGGGCATCTGATCGTGTCCACAGCCAGTGAGTCTGATGGCCACCCACTTTCTCCTTTCCGGAAACACTAATACTACTGGTTTCAGCTGGCTTACAAATGTTCCATCTATGAAACCAAACATATCATGACTCATTAAGAGACATACCATCTGTGTTGTCCACATACGATACTCATCCCTACCACTCAGTTTCATACTAATAAAGCTGGCTGCAGAAAGATTTCATGGGTATGGGTATGTGTATTCTTCTCCAACTTCCATCGTAACATATTCATTAGAGCTTGAACTTGCCATTTTATTCTTGCATTCTGTGATCACTCCTTCCAACTTCTTACATATTAAAAATAGAAGATAAATGAAGTTGATTTGTGAGGTCCCCCAAAGCCAATTTACGATCGCTTATTGCAAAGTAATCGACACATAAAAAAGTTTCAGGAGGTAAAGAATATTAATTGCAAAAGTTATTTACCACTATAAGATTTTACTATGACATTTATTCGTCAAAATACAATAAAAGCATCGTGTACTCATTCTTTTATCCTAAAGTTCAGATCTGTAGTGCCCACAAAAACCACTTTAAATTAAGACTCATTCTTTTAGGAAAGAAGAGATCATGTGCACCACAAGATCAACATTATTGACACCAGAATTGTATTGTTTTTTTTTTTTTTTTTTTTTTTTTTGTAGATGAAGCACTTTAATCAAGAATAAATTGTTTAAATAATTCAATATTCACAAACTACTGGCCCACTTATCGTAACTTCCCAATAGGGAAAGTGTGAAACAGATTTGGAAAGTAAGTTGTAGTAAATTGAAGTTTGATTATATATATATATATATATATATATATATATATATATATATATATATATATATATATATATATATATATATATATATATATATATATATATATATATATATATATATAGTAGTTTATAACCCGTGGGAATTACGGTTACAAAATTAATTAAATTTTTATAATAAAAACTAAAAAAATTTAATTAATTATTTTAAATAAATTATTAATTAAGAGATTTTTTACTTATATAAATTTTAATCATTTATTAAAATAAATATGTGATATTATATTTTATAGTTTATATTAATTTTATTTTAATTTTTATTCTAATGTTATTAATTTAATGTAATTAGAGTGGTAAATTTAAATTTTGAAATTTGAAATGGAGTTGACAAGTGATATGCATTAATTAAGAGACATAATAATGTGACACATGACAAAAAGAGAATAAAATATGTATTAATTACAATATCTAATAGAAATGATACATGTCAAAAGAAGAATAAAACTGTTCTTTTATTAGAATATATATATATATATATATATATATATATATATATATATATGTGTGTGTGTGTGTGTGTGTGTGTGTGTGTGTGTGTGTGTGTTTAAATATTATTAAAAGAGAAACCTTATTACATCATCTTAAACAATCTAGGTCATTGACTGTATTTCAATCATGTGTTTTCTACCCTTAAATCAAATTGCTGACATCATCTTCTCCAAATGGAATGTATTTAATTCCAATAAAAGTTTTCCAATTATCAAACAAAATTAACTTACGTCCATTGAAATTGAATGCATATAATTCCAATAAAATATTTCCATATTTTAAATCTTGAATTTCCGGTTATAAAGGTTTTAAAATGGTCAGCTTTAAAAACATATTAGTAACAATCAATTTCAATTAAGGCATTAATATCAACCATTAATATAAATATGTTTATATTAGTAAACAATTAATTTAAAAATCTATTTTTATTAAGAAACCATTAATACCAAAAAATTAGATTCAAATTATCACATACATATACGATTCATCATTGAATCTATGGCTCACACTTATTTTCAATCGTTTATTTTCTTCAAACCTTCTCCTACAACATTATTGTTATTGTTTATAATTTTGATCATCATGTTTGCTTCAAAGCTTCGTTGTTGTGCAGTAGAAGGTCAGTACCTTCTTTTGCTTTTTATATTTTTTTCGATTATTTTTTTGTTTCTATATCAAATATATGTTTTCATATATTTCGATTTTCTTTGTCACAAATTACATGAAATTGGTTAACTAATTTTCTGAAACTTTTCAAATAAACAGGAAAAGATATTACACCTTTAGCAAAACAGAAATTAATTATCTTTGGAATTGACACTAATTAGGAAAATGTTATTTTTATATATTAGAGGTGATTATGATTTTTATTATTATTATGTCATAAGAATCTGGTTAACTTTGGTATGATTTTAAAATATTTTGGTATGATCCTATTATATTTTTAGGTTGATTTAATAGGAAATAATATATAATTTATTTATGCTTCATTTGAAATTAAGTATGGAAATAATTTTGTTGACAGCTATGGTGAATCCTTATAATTTTTTGACTTTTCAGGACTTGATAGCCAGGAATCGACACTCATGTTGCACTTTGTAAGATTTTATTTTAATATTCTACCTTATCTACAAGTAAATATTTATTGTATTACACATCTATAATACAACAAATATTTATTTTTTTGTTCCAGATTTTCTTAGTCGAGGTGTGTCGAGTAATCTCATGAAAGTGATTATTCAAGGGAGAAATGATTGATAAACCTGGCTGATCAGGATATAAGTTTAAGTATATATGTTTAAAAAAATTTATTTTTTAAAGTATTTTTCTACATGATGCCATCAAACATGTGGTTTGCATGAAAATAACATGTTCATCTACACTTCAATATACATGTTTATTTTAGCATTACTTAAAACATTTCAAATCCACTAATTATATAATCCACCTTGATTCATACAGGAAATAATTCGTTAATCATTATCAAAGGGTCCATTTATGATCTTCTCACTAACAAATTGGTCAAATGTGGTTAGAGCTATTTCAAACATTTTTTTATCACGTGTCTTCATACTTTTAAGTTTTACATTTTGATCTTCAAATTCCATTGTTTAGTTACATACATTGAAATTATTATTTTTTGTTTAACATCCCAACCTACTTTGTTTTATTTTTATATAGTAACAACAAAATTTATAAATTTAAAGAACAATATACGTATTTTGAATTTTGTCATAGTATTATACTTTACAAAATACAATTTCCTCTAAAATAATTTTTGCCAGTAATTTCATCTAAGTTAAATTTGTATTTCTTTATATAAATCTTTTTAATGATCCTGATTTTTTCCATCTAAAAGTATATTAATGTTGCCACATTATAATTATTATTTTCCAAAATATATCCGTTTAATGAGAGACTTAATTTAGTGAATGAAATAAATGTTAATTCAAACTAGATATATATTCCATAATTATTACAAGAGTTTATTAAAAAAATATCAAGATGTAAACATTAAGCATTTTGAAAATAAAGTTTCAGATTACATACAAACGATAATGTTGTACAATAAAATATAAAATTGAATAGACTAAAAAAACTATTAAGACAACAAATCTTGAAAATAATATAGCTATGAAAAATTATAAAGTAAAATAAAAATTATAATATATTAGGAGATTCGTAAGTACAATTAATAAAAACACTATGGTTATTAGAAAAAAAAAAATAAGATCGTTAAGATTAGTAAAAATGTAATATATAAACTAAATTATCACAATAGTAATGAAATGTCATTATTTGATATTTCATATAATTGAAAGATATACTAAATTACATTGATGATATACTAAAATTAGTAAAAACACTACGGTTATTAGAAAAAAAATAAGATCATTAAGATTAGTAAAAATGTAATATGTAAACTAAATTATCGCAATAGTAATGCAATGTCATTATTTGATATTCCATATAATTGAAAGATATACTAAATTATATTGATGATATACTAAAATTATTCAAAGTTGCACCAAGATTAATGCAAACGTCTTGCAAACACTAAATAAATAAGAACAAACATAAAAGTCAGCACTTATATTCATAATCAATTTAAAATAAACCAATCATGATTTAGAAAAGAATTTCCATTGATGATATACTAAAATTAAATCCATATAATATTTAACATTCCATAATTATACTTTATGATTTTATTTGAATAAATGAAATAGTTGTCAATATTTAATGCAGTAAAAAAAACAGTATATTGGTTGTCAATATAAACTCAAATTAAGTAACCTTAGTATGGAAGGAACGTCTAATTAGAATACTTATGCTTATTTAACAATATCATAACCATATGTGGTGAAGAAGGTCATTCAACTAATAAAACAAAAAATATTGTATACAAAGAGGTCATTCAACGATTATAGATATTTATCGATTTCAATGTATCTTCAACACATTTCTATAATACTAATAACCATAATGTTTTTTATAATTATTATACAATATATGTAGACATTTGTATGCTTTTTATACGTTCCCCGCGTTTAACGCGAGTTATATATATATATATATATATATATATATATATATATATATATTCTAATAAAAGAATAATTTCATTCTCCTTTTGATATGTGTCACCCTATTAGGCTTCCCAATTAATGCATATTTTATTTTCCTTTTGCCATGTGTTATCTTATTATGTCTCATAATTAATGCATGTCACTTAACATATTGATTCTTCATTTCAAATTTCAAAATTTAAAATATAAATTTCTCATACTAATTAAATTAAATTAATAACAATATAATAAAAATTAAAATAAAATTAATGCAAGTTATAAAGTGATATAATTTCATATATTTATTTAAATCAATGACTATAATTTTATATAACTAAAAAATCTTTTAATTAATAATATATTTAAAATAATTGATTAATAATTTAAAGTTCTTACTATAAAAATTTAATAAATTTTGTAATCGTGATTCTCACGGGTTATAATCTAGTGTATATATATATATATATATATATATATATATATATATATATAATATATATATATATATATATATATATATATATATATATATATATATATATATATATATAAGTTCAATTGAGAAAATAAAAAAAAGGTTGAGAATGAGGGAATAATTTTCAGCCAATCATTTAATTAGAATATTAGCATAAAATACACGGTCACAAAGTTGTAAATATGATATACTAACCTTCAATCACAGATACCATTTCTTCTGGATCGTTTATCTATTCTTCATCAACACCATCTGTTATTCATTCATCTCGATTGTTCCTCGGTGTTCTTCATCAAC